GGGAACTCAGCACCCATGGATCTGGAAGCAGGCATCTTTCTGCTTCAGCATCCGGCACCAGCCAAGAGATTTTGGTATCTCTGGATGGTGAGTTACCCAGCAGTCCTGTCCTAATGCTGCGTACAATTCATTTATTTGTTTAGTTCATCTTTGGTTTACCCAATTTGTTCCTGTTGCATTTGTTTTCTGTGCTTACAAGCAATTCTGTTGTAAAATGTTGCAGCCAAACATAGTAATTGGAGCAGAAAAGACTGTATGCTTAATTATGAAACAGGATTGACTTCTGATGCACATCACAAGGCATCAGTGGAAAAATCCATGTTTCATTGGACTCACTGATAGCTCTGTGCTTGACTGAACTTCACCATCGATACCCTGTATCTTTGCTTGTTTTAAGTGCAGCCAATTCCTGAGGAACACTGTTTAACTAGTCCCATACCTGTTCCAATACTGACATACCTGTGCCTACAGCCAGCAGTCCTCCAGCAGCATCATTCCAACTACTGCCTCAGTGCTGGAAACTACCGCGGCCGTGGTCCACATAAGGATGGATCCGGGTGAAACCAAGAGTTAACTCAGCACAGCTACCTAGTTCAAGGAAGAAGTCCTGGATTTCCTTTGCCTGTGGGGAGAAGGAATAATACTGAAACAACCTTGCAATAATAACAGAGTTTTATGGCTTGTAACACAAACTTTTCCCTTGGCTGGCAAAGCTGCCACTACAACAGGCAGTGAAGAGCTATTAAATATTTAGTGCTGATCCCATTAAATGAGGCTAAACAACGAACTGACTAGAACCTTGCTAACCTCCAACTGAGCGGAAGAGGAAAACAAAAGAGGACATAAGAACATCAAAAAGAAAACCTAAAGATGTAATAAAACACTTCCACCACAGTGAGGGTGGTCACCGCAGCAGGTTGCCCAGAAGTTGTGGAGTCTCCAAACACAACTGCCATGGTCCTGGGTACCTGGTTGAGCAGGAGAGCAGAGCAGATGATGCCAGACATCCCTGCCCATCTCAAGCACTCGGTGGTTCTGTGAGCTTAGGAAATAAGGAGGCAGTAACGAGCAAGAGAGATTAGACAAGCTGAAGGCTGATTTTCTTTATGACCCAGCCCAAACCAGAGCCAACACTGCCTGGAGAAGAGAACTTGGGAAAGTACATAAATCTAGCAGGTAAAACACACAGACAGAAGACTTGACCTTTCATTATCAGCCAGCCCTGCTCTGTGCACCTCCCCAGCCTTCCTCCTTGTGTTCTGAAAGGGGCAGCCAGACATAAGCAGGTAGGGAACCGAGGATCCTGCTTTAGAGCTTATTTTAAGAGCAAGCACTGGCAGCACTAGGCAAAACTGACAGAAAAAAAAATGAGGAAAAACAACTAAAGACAGAGTCTAGTACAAACCCTTGCGAGTACCTTGGATGCCTTCAACACAGCAGCAGGCAGCATGACTGAGTGAAACCAAACTGTTGAGGAGAGCTGAATAATGCTGATTGCTCCTGTAAGCTACAACTAAGTAACACCTAAGCATTCAGAGTACCTACAGAGACAATACCCCAGCACCAACAAATATAGAAAGGAGAAAAGAAAGAAGAAAAAAAGAAGTATTTACAGTATTTACAACCAAACCAGTAATGGCACATTCACGTTCTTGCAGAGAGTTCATAACAAATTTATTTTACTGAATACGATTTTTTTTTCAAGCCCCATAGCCATTACTTGTATGGCACGGCTAGAATTAGAGAAGGGGCAGAAATAGAACCTGCCTGATTAGCTCCAAGGAGGACTCCTTTTGGGCGCTTTCTAGTAACATCTGACAGCTACAAGCTCAAAAGCTCTTGGCCTCATCTACACCGCATCCACACACAGGACGCTCACAGAGCAGCAGCAACCTCCATCTCCAGCACCAGCAACAATTTCTCCTCAGCCTCATAAGCTCTTTATGCACAACAGAACGTGCTATGTGGCCACTCTACCCCTGCAGCGTTTCTTACCAGCACCTTTGGAAACAGAGCCACAACAGGCACACGGGGACCTCGAGAGTCACCCTGCTAACACAGCACAACCACTCTGCTATCCGAGCAGGACAGCAGAAACAGTCTGGCTTGCCACCAGCCACATTCCCCTACCTGTAGCACAAGCACTGCCCATCTTCCCCAACTACTGATGTTAGGGAAGCACTATGATCTACCAGCAAGCTCATGGGAAAAAAAAAAAAAAAAAAGCTCTATTTTCTGTGGCTGGTAAAGGACAGAAAATACTGGGATTGTGATACATCCTCCTACTGTTCAACCTGGGGAATCCATCTAAATATAAGGAACTTACAAATTGCCTTGGGAGTAGTAATGCCAAAACCTGTGCAGCAGGATGCATCTGACTGACCTGCCTGCCTAGGAGACAACAGTGTTTGTGCCAGGTTCTCCAAGACGTGACCCTTGCTCACTGAGTTCCTGATGTCCAAAGAGCTATTTGTACTTCTGTGTGCAAAACAACCCACCAAACCAAACACCAGCACGTGTGGGCAGTGAATGAAGTGTGAGGCCAAGGTGGTAGAAACAACAATCCAGGAAAACCTTGCACCCCTGAAGGCAGCAGTTTTGGTGATTTCTCACACCTGTTTCATGATCTGCACTCATTGCTTGATACTTAGTTAGCAGGCTCTAAACCTGTCAGTGAGCATAGCTTGTCACTAAACGCCAACCCCTGGCGACATCTGCTTGTTGCCCTCATTTTCCGAGTTGCCCAAATACTTAATGAGTTTGAAACCAGTTGCCTCAGGTTTCAAATTCTAATTTAGTGCCCTGCTTGGTCTGAGTCCCCAGACAGGGTGAGCTGCAGAGACTCAAAACAGCAGCACCAAAATCAGTTATGGGATGAAAGAGGGGAAGCCTAGACACCCAGCTAAAACCCTACCAAGTTCTTGCTTATAGTTGCACCAGTGCTGTTTGTCCTAAGTGTTTGCTGAAGTCTCCTAAGATAAAGTAAGCTCTTAATGAGCTAGCTCTTCCTGCTGTAACTCCATCATTAATAACCCACTTTTATATAATACAGTAAATGTAAAACTCCCACAAGGCTTGGCATTCAGAAACAGCAGCATACTTACCAAAGCGGTTGTGCCGAGTCTTCCATAACCAACCAACCACATCTGACACACAAAGAGGCCGTGCACTACACACAGGAGGGTCCACTTTCACACACAGAGGAGTGCGCATTGTCCTTCAGTGAAGGACAGGCATTAAAAGAAGTTGCAAGTATTAGGTTTCATTGTATACTTCATTCTCCACTATGAAAAGAGGAATGCTACCAGTTGATTCAGTCAGACAAGTTACCAAAATATCTTTAAGCATTTTTTTTTGAAAAAAAATCTTTCATTTCTTTGAGTGCCAGAGATGGCTTAACCGCTATGATCAGCTCCTGCGCTAGTGCTTTCAAACCTGGGTAAGTCATCATGCGACTCGTGCTTGTTTTACCTTGGACCCAGCACAAAAGCCCATGCTGGGCGTTTCAGGACAACTCAACGGAGGCAGCAATGCTTGTTTTCCAGCATGACTTTTGCTTCCACACCCCCGAACACAAAACCTCTAAAAAAGGCAGACACCATACAGCAAAGTGCCACAGAGACATGACAATCATTACAGAAACTGTTTGCCTGTTTCAGAGAAACTGCTCATCTATTAGACAGTGATGATTTACACATATGAACAATCACATTTCTCCTCAGAAATACATTTTCCTGGCATTCTTTTATTAAAAAGAAAAGAGCCAAAGTTGGCCCTGAAGCTGCTGTTATAAAGTAGATTCTGAAATAGCAAGTGAACTAAGTAAGAGCAAAAGAACTCCCACTGATACAGAGTTTAAAACTAGGTTTACAATTTCCTATTTTATTGGCATGAATGTATTTCTAAACTTAAAAACCCTTCTGGCAAGTTATCTCAATTTCTTATGACAAAATTTCTCACAACACACAAATATTTACAACATATACATATTTTTTTCAGTCTTTTACAACTGGTTCTTAAAAGACAAACATTTTTATAGGTTACCACAGAACAAAAGCTGTGACTTAGTTGTTTTTTTTTAATTTCATAAAACTATCATAAGTTAAAGTGAATAGATTTTCTTTAAATTCCTTGTAGCATTTTACAAGTGCAACAGAAAATATGAAGAACCAATTTAGGATAGCTGCAATTCATTGGATAAATGTTGCCTGTTGTAATCACATTGTTTCACAGCAAATTCTTGAAAAAATAAGCACCAATCATTCTTGCAAAGAACAATTTTATCTAAAAGTATTGAAAAGTGTTAAATACAAGGTGTTTAATTTACATAACAAGCAATAAATACACCATATCCAAACTTTTATTCTGCATACTGCTACCCTTGTACATATAATGTACTAAAAAGTCAGCAAATTGTCAACACCTTTTAATTTTTTTTTTCTTTTTTTAAAGAAATCAATTTGACTTCCAACCAACGGTTTGCTACTATAACAAAGGCCACAAACAGTACGTCTGGGACAGCATACAGTGTTAAAACTGACAAACTCCAAGGGGGAAAAACATCTAGCAAATAAATCGAAAAGCTGTAGATCATTGCTGGTGATATTAACATATACTAGAAAACCTTAATATGCTGCTACTATGATTTTTTTTTTAATTATTGTTTAGTCAAATACCGTAAGGGCAAACTAGTGCTCTTACAGATCAAAAATAATTGTGTAGCCACACTGTATTCTCATTGTCCTGCATGGAAAGATTTGATGCAATTTCATAACTTTGCTTGAGCCTTTATTTTACAACAGAGCATTACCTCTTACTCTAACTCAGAATTGCACATAAGAAGGCTATTAAAAAGTACAATAAAAATCTGCACAAATCAGACTTAAGAAGAGTCGGTTTGCTGTACACTTTCTACAATATTATGTTGATAGGTGAATAAACAATAAAGAAGTGCTGCCACTAAGTTTTTCAGAAAGTTCTTCAGCTGAGGAATAATCAAGTGGAATTTTTGTTGGTTTTTTGTTTGTTTGTTTTTAAAAATGACATCCTGGTCAGTTTAAGACCTATAAGCTTATGCATTGAGCCTTAAAGACTGATCTTCTCTCCTCCTGGAAGAAATATCAATATCTATTGAATCCTTGCCAACAATGAGCCTTAATCTCTTTGCTGGAGGAAGAGGAATAAAGTCATCGAATTCATCATCATAGTCATCCTCCTCTTCATCATCCTCCTCTGATGAAGATTCATCTGCTGTTTCCTCTTCATAGTGACCATAATCATCTACTTCCATTCTCGACTCCAAAAGGGAGAGAGTTTCACTACAACACACACCATTTTCATGAAGGTCCTCAGGGTATGGCCCTTTGTTTTCTTCCTCCCGTTTTAGCTGTATCTTTAGTTTTGTTGAACTATTGCCTGATCCTGAGTTAAACCCATTATTTAGCTTTGCTACATATAAATTATTATCTCTTTCATGGTCTTTACTTAATTTGATGCTTATTTTTGAAGAATTCATTCCGTCATTTTCTTGGTCATTTGCCTTGCTACTGCTATCATGGCGTCTACGAAGAGTCAGTTTAGGGATCCCAGAGCTATTTTCAAGAATTAATTGTGCATCATACCTCGTGATTCGTCTTTTCTTTTTACTTTTTGCAGTTCTAAAGCTGTCTTTTGCTTTAAAATTGTCAGAAGTTACAACAGAGCAGCCACCAGATCCAGGGATACAGTCTTTATTATAGCTGACTGGTGTGTCCGCAACATTATTATTTTCTCCATGTTCTGGATGAGAGCTGATCAAATCTGGTACTTCATCTTTAACGGGGGCGTTGTGCGTAACATCAGTTCCCTCTGGTTTTGCAGGGGGTTTCCCCAGCTTTCCTTGCCGGGATTTCTTTTTGGACACGCCTGTGTCATTTTTGGAGCACCTCCCCTCCCCTTTATGTGATGCTCGGGGAGCCAAGTCAGTCTCACTTACCGCATGGGATTGCTGCTCTAAAACATCCGATCGTGTCCCAGTCAAGTTACTTTTATAGCTATCCAACATATTTGGTTCAAGCTTTATGTCAGAGGTCTCCTTCAAACTCATCCTCGTTCTCACCGACCTCCGTGTTATGTATGTGCAGGGTGGTACCTCGCCAGCCTGCTCATGAGCACCTTTCACAGAATTCAGTTTATATTCTCTTGCTGCATGCCTTGTTAAGCATCCACTAGAGACTGCAACTTTGACTGGTCCCTCCAATTCTTTATCCTTTTTAAGGGGCAAGTTTTTATACAGAACTACTTTCGGCTCTTTGAGAACTAAGTTTCCCATTTCCAGCTTTCTAGAAGCATTCTTCTGCTCTGGCCTTTTGCACTGATTTCTCAACTTTATCTTTGAAAGTAAAGGCTTTGCAGGCTTTTTCAGTCTCTTTGGTACCCTGGAATTATTTATATGAGTTAGTTTAGATGAGGTAGAATTTGATGATGCTGGAATTCTTGATATCGACTGTCTTGTTAATGTCCTGCTCTTGCTGTTCTTTTTTACGCCAATTGAAGATTTCCTGTTAGCTGTCAAAGAAAAGGAAAGATTGTGAAATGACACTATTTAACACAGTCCCCCTCCCCACCCCCAAGCAGTAGTTCTTTTAATATTAATTGAAATGCCTGAGGCATAAAATAGTATTCAGAAGAAAGATAGCTCAGCTTGCAGCTCAGAGCTAAGTGGAATCAAGCCCACCCAAAAGCATCTAAATTCTAGATACCCATTGATAATGGGGCGTGGGGAAGTGTATCTTATTGGCATGCTTAGAGACATGAGACCATGATTACTTCTTGATATAAACGCACAAAAAAATAGCACCTTGTGTTCTTGAAATACTTCAGGTAAACCACTCATTGGCTCTATAAATTACCTTGAAATCCCAGAATAAGTTACTGATCTAAAAAACCCAAGCCTGAGATGCATTTATCCCAATGCTAAGAGAACAAGTCCATCACAGTGGAAAGTTTATCACATTTTTGAGACCTTGTTTGCCAAGTCTGCTCCTTGCTTACTTGCATTAGCTTTTTCCTGAGTGGTATCTGCATCAGTGTTAGAGCTGACGGATTGGCTGTCTGAATTTTTGCTGCTGTCACCCAACTTTTTAAGTCTGTTCAATCGCTTATCTGTTTCTCTCAGTCCATATTTACTATTAATCACAGGAGTAGGTGCTGGCAATCCCACTCTTGATTTAAAAGCACCAGTTCCACGTCTACAAAAAAGAAAAACACCATATATTAATAACTGCTAACAAATTTAGCATTGTGTCATATACAATCCTAGGTATATTTAGATAAACAATGCCAATATCTACTAAGTGTATTAGCATTTTGTGGGATATTTCAATTAGGTATGTCATTTCAGTAAGATGTGCAGAAGAATCTCCTATTTATTTCTAGAGACATGCAAAAGCATTTTTTCCTGTTGCTTTTTATCTACTTCAGGATCATTTCATAATCAAATTGCATAGCTGAAATTGAGATGCTGCGGCTCAAAATACTATTTGATAACAGCTTGAATAACAACTGAAAAGGATTATTTTTCTTTAACCACATCCACTTAGTTTAAAAAAAAAAAACAAGATTGCCAGCTCCAGTTATAACGCTTGTTACTGCATCAGTTATAAATTACATAAAAATAGGAATTATCCCCTGGGTAGTCTTCATTTGGAAGAAGGCTCCATTCATGCATTTAATCACCAAACTTAAGTGGCAGAATTCCTGCACTTCAGCCACTACAACAAGAATCCTTTTGCTATCCTTCATCCTTCAGCAAACTTGCACTTCGCAAAATTAAAATTAACACTTCCATTTGGATTCCAGTGTGCTGCACTGAAAGCAAACCTCTAAAACCTAACCACAAGTGCACCACAGAGACCAGAGAGGATCTTGAGCTCTACAGGGTTAAACATTACTGTGCAGGCACAGTATTTTCACTCAAATTGACTGATGTTTGACACAGAACCTTCTTTCAATATTGAGTTCTGCAAATTACAGGCAGCTAAAATATTAGACTGACCCTAACACAAACAGCCACTTCAGACTAGATGTGGACAGGGCTACGGAGGGCCAGAACTGTCTTCCAATACATTCATCAGATCTGGTGCCCAGTTATCCCAGTTAACAGGAACATGCTCAGCGAGCAGTGCAGAAAGCAGCAGTTGCCTCGTCTACCTATTCCATTTCTCATACTATGGGCATGTATTAAGTGACTCTGCTTAAAGGTTTTTTTTTCTAACTTTGACCTACCCAGACACACAAGCTTGGAGGTCCATACTGAAAGATTTTCCCTTAAATTGCTGGAATTGTTTAGTGACAAAACTACCTAATAAAAATGAAGGTAAGATTACTGACCTACTTATATGTGTGTGCACTAAGCTATTTCTAAATATGATCAATATTTTGTCCTTAGTACCCTTCCTCCTTCTACAGTTAGCTCATACAGTTGTCACAGGTTCTCTGCAGCGCCTTCTGCTAAAATCAGTTAGATGATTCACAAGTGATGCTGAACCTCTGCTTACGCGTACAGCAACAGAAGTTTCTACAGGTCAGAAAGGTGAGTGTGGAGTCCTTCTTGGAGGAATATGGCCGCCAGATGAACCAGCCCTACGAGCACGTGGCGCAGACCAAAAATGGTCACCTTGAACCTGCACAATGAGGAAGGTTCTAGAACATGGACGGAGCCCGACAACAACCAACCAGAGAGAAGAAAGGCTCTAGCCAATCAGACGAGACAGGGGCAGCACACAGGGGAACAGAAATGGGATATAAGGGACAGCTTTGTTTGAATAAACGGGTCTTTCTGCTTGATTCACATTGGGCTTGGGACGCTCCATGGTTTTTCTTTCCTCAGTTGGTGACCCCAATGTGATGCACGGCATCAAAGCTTAAGAAACATGTGGGGAACCCCAAAGGAGAGGCCCAGCTGGAGGACAGCTCAGCAGGACTGAGACCGGGATGGATTGAAGGACGGTCCAGGAACAAAAAAAGAATGAACGTTGCAATGGGACATCCTGTGAGGTGAGCAGCTGGGGCAGGAGATGGGTCAAGGAGTCACAAAAGAAGATGCAATTGTTAAACCTGTCCTGCATATACTCTCTAAGAGAGGAATTAAGTACGATGAGCTTATGCTCCAGAAACTGTTAATCTAGTGTCGAGAAAACAGGTTCCCCGCTGAACTGGAAAACGCTTTGAAAGTTGGAGTATGGGAAAAGGTCAAAGAAAAACTGTGGGACAGAGTACGCAAAGGTAGTAAAGAAGCTGAAAATGTAGCTACTACTTGGAGGTTGGTACCATCAACCTTGCAAAGTTTAAGAGCAGAAAGATCTGCAGCTGCTGAGGCATTCCAGCATATCCAGCTCATATTAGAGCATTCCAACAACAACCTGTCCCGTCCTCTGTATCATCGTCAGCACCCCCGATGGAGGAGCAGCTAGGAATGGGAGAGGGGGAGATGGCGGTTGATGAGCCCTCATCGTCGCCTCCGCCTTTGGGAGAAGAAGCTCCTGAAAGAACTGCAGGAGCCAAAGATCCAAAGGATCCACCGCCAATACCACCGCACCAACCGCCCAATAATAGTGCAACAACGTTTTATTCACCCCTACCACCCTCACCACACCTCCATCTCCTACACCTCAACCACCCCTCACACCCCCGGGACATGGGACTGGGCAAACAAATGGTTATGAAAGTTAGGGGAAAAGGAAAGAGATCTGATTCAGGAGAGAGTTTTGCAAGAGGAAGGAAGGGCTGTGCTCATGCATTGGGAAGAAAGCAAAAGATGGGGTCGAGGAAACCATGGGGAAGGTGGAAGAGGGAGGTTTGAAGGATATGACACAAAGAAACATTGGAAGGGAATTATCCAAAATGCAATAAAAGAAGCAGAATTCCTTTCTAATGCCTATCCAGTAGTTATGGGGGTCAAAATCAGCCAATCACTGGGTGCCCTGTCATGGGATCTGAATAAGGAAGCTCATAAGTCAGTATAACAATATGGTTTACATGGGCCTTTTATACAAGCTGTACTTAACATATTTACAGGGCATTTGCTAACACCTCATGGTATCAGACAATTGGCTGTGGTGCACTCGGTGGCGGGATGCGGCTGGAGCTGGCGGCCCCCGCCATTTTTTGGGGGGGGGGGCCGCCGCCACCTGCCGCTCTCGCCTATTTGGACAGAGCTGAAGGGGACCCATTGCGCCTGATCAACAGATACGCTCATTGGAGGGGGTCAATGGGCTGATGCACAACGCCAAGCTCGATTAAATGTAGAGGTTTTGCCCTTGTCAGCTACCTTGGTGCAAGAGGCACTCGTGGCCCTTCCTGAGGATGGGCAAGCTATCGCGGAGCGCATGAATCAGACGTTGAAGCATCTGCTTCACAGAGGGGGAGAATTGGGATTATCCCCCAACAATCAGTTATATAAACCGTTGTATGTTTTGAACTTTCTGCAGTTACCAGAGGACAGCCTGGTGCCCCCAATGGTAAAACATGGAGCAGGATTAAAAGGAGATCTCGCAGAACTAAAAGAAGGACAATGCAAAGTCATGGTGAAAAATGGGACCACAGGGACATGGGGACATTTCCCCCAATGACTTGGGGAAAAGGGTATGCCTGTGTCGTTACGGATACCAGAACCAGATGGGTACGAGCAAAATGGGTGAGATCATGGCTGGAAACAGACTTGAGTAAATCAGATGTAGCAGACAAGCAACCAGGACCCTAGCTGTGGAAAGTGTGAACCTGCAGAAGGAAAACATGGAGGAAAGAAGTGTTACTGTTATTAGCTGTATATTGTGGCTCATAGGAGCTAATGTTACTTTTAATGCTATTATAGGGGTTGATGCTGCTTTTAAGAAGCATAACACATCCATTAGCGTTAAGCAGACTGTTAATTATACCCAAATCAAGAGTTGTTGGCTTCGCGGGACAGCAGATCAATTCGATGCACCAGTGTTAGGTATTCCTTTAAGCAACTGGACAGACCTGAATCCGTATAGCCTACTCAATACGTCATATCAATGTATACAGGCGAATGTCACTAAGGAAGGAACGCCTTTTACACTTCAATTAGTTAATAACACAGTGCCTTATATATATTATAGCTTACCAGGCCTAAACCTAGGCACCTTTCAAAACCAAACAGGCAACTGGTTGACCATAAAGCTTAAGTTGAACCATAGCGGGGATATAAATTCTGCAAGTAACTACTCAGAGGGAGTAGGAGACCAACAATGGGCTGACTATCTATAGGGAAAAGCCACCACAAATACATATCAACCTGCAATGTGCCAGGGGGTCACTGGTGGCTGTGTGGAGACCAAGTTGCCTGAAAACAGCTCCCAGGCAACTGGTTAGGACAATGTACTATGGGAATTTTAGCCCCCCAACTATGAGAGGAATAGTAAGGGGCCTTCGGGGAAAGTCTAGAACCAAACAAGAGATTGGTAATCCTCTAATAAGATACAATACCAGGCTCCATGGCTTTGTTAGGGTGCTTTTGCCAACCCTTGGTATTGTTCAATTAGAGGGGGCCATTCTGAATATTTCAGGTGAAAAGGAAATCATTGCTAACAAACAGCAGAAGCTATTTTTGGGTTGCAAACAGAAGAGGATTCCCTGAGAAAAATAGTCTTACAAAATCAAAAGGCCCTTGACATCCTAACCGCACAGGCTGGAGGAGTATGTACCCTGATAAATGAAATAGGTTGCAGCTATATTGATCAGTCCTGCAAAATACTTACAGATGTCCAAGACATTTGGGATGATGCAAAGATTTGGCATAAAGTCACAGAGGATGAAGGTCTGTCATGGTTGGACAATTCATTAAGTGGATGGGGAATTTCAGGATAGTTACAATTGTTAATGAGAAGTGCAGGGATGGAGTTGTTGATTTCATGTTGCATTCTGATAATTGTGCCTGCCTTGTTGAAATGCCTGTCTAATATGATTGAAAGCCTTAAGGAAGGTTTGGCCACTTCAAGAACTAAATGGGGGAATTGTGGAGTCATTCTTGGAGAAATATGGGCACCCGATGAACCAGCCATACGAGCACATGGTGCAGACTAAAAACGGTCACCTTGAACCTGCAGAATAAGGAAGGTTCTAGAAGATTGAAGGAGCCTGATGACAACCACCAGAGAGAAGAAAGGCTCTAGCCAATGAGACGAGATGGGGGCAGCACGCGGGGAAGGAAATGGGATATAAGGGACAGCTTTGTTTGAATAAACAGGTCTTTCTGCTTGATTCACATTGGAGCGTGCTGAGCCCACTGTTTTTCTCCCCTCGGACTAGGAAATACTTTCAAATGCTATGATGAAAAAGCTGGGTCGGAATGACAAGGGTGAAAAACAAACAGGTTTTCCTGTCATTGTGTAATGGACAGATAGAAGCAGGCACTATCCAACACCAGTAGGTCTTCGCAAATACATAAACTGAAGTTCTAATCTTATATGGTAAAGACTACTTCGCCTGTTCCCATAAGCACAACACACAAAAAAATGCTTTTGCTGGTAGAATTAAGAGCAGCAGCTGGGAGGTAGGTAGTTAGCTGTCTAACTGTGCCTAGTCTTTTTCCTTTCCAATTCTGCTTTATTCCTTCACATAATACAAATATGTGCAAGAATCTTTGTTATTCTCACTTTGGATAGCTTGCAGGACAGATGAGGAAACATATGTAACAACTTATGTCATTAAAATGACTAATCAGAAAAATAGTTACATATTTCAGAAAGTCTGACTGCTAATACCCAAGTTTTTTAGCTTCACAAAATAGCATTAATATATTCAATTGCAGCTGAATCTTCTTTACATTAATGCATACCTTTCACAGGTGTAACATTCGCAGTATTCATTATTCTCTCCAAAAAAGCCATCTCCGTAGTAACAAGAGATTTCTTCTCCAGGTTCAATATCTCTTAGAGCTTTCACACATGCTGTATCTCTGCCAGTTGATACAAACTGGGGAGGGAGATGACAAGGAAGAGGGATAGAAAAACGGCTGATCATTAAGGCTGAACAGCATTTGAATTAGAAATAAAACAGTGGGGGGAGGAAAAGGTGCAGGGATAAGGAGAAAAAAAAAATTAGGTGGGTTGCTTTAGTTATTTATTTTTAGTTTTCTGCTTACCTTACAGTTAGGTCTGCAATCTGAAAAAGGTCCAAAAGATAAAGTCAATTAACTGTTGATAAGACCTGAAACATGAATAATTGTAGATATCTAAAGTAAGGATTCACTCTGACTTCATTAAAGCTAGAATCTCAACTAAATAGTGGGAGTTTTGTTAGCATTGCTCATCTGTTATCAGTAGCTGTGCATCAGAAGCAGCTTGTTTGTATATAGTGGTTTTTTTTTTTTTTTTTTACTACTATAAATGATCTGTTTCTCTTTTCTTTAAGGTAAGAAGATATACCTTAAATCCTACCTGTTTTGCCTTGAGCTTAAAAGCACAATAATATCTGAGAAGCATCTGTGCATATGATAAAAGAAGGTACAAAGAGCTCATCTCAGAAACATAGGACTACAGACTAAGTTCACTATTTAGCTACAGCAAGAATGCAGGGGAGGTAGCAGAATACTCCACCAATTCAGGTGCAGAGTCCAAAGACTCTGCAAAGGAAGATGTCACTTCCCAGAGCTCCTGGTGAGCATCCCAGTACAGAGCCCATTAGCTCTGGTTTGGTAAACTCCCAACAGGATTATGTCTACACTAATCAGCACGCCAAATTACATCACTTATATTCAGCAGACAGAAGTCAAACTTCTGTTCACTATTGTGTGCTTTATCTCACACAGGATAAACCACCTGAAGAGAACTGCTTGGGTCATTTAACACTCTTCATATAGTTGTTACTTACCATGATTGATAAATGCAGCAGGACCAAGCCACAGTTGAGCACAGTTTTTCCGCGTGGAATACATGACACTGAAGTCATTTTCCCCATGTCTCAGCAGCATGTTTTCTTCCATTTCTGACAGTTCAGCAATGCAGCCCACAAGTAATTCTATTTTATCATTCCGTTTCCTTCAGGGTAAACACAGTAGTGAAAGTAAGAATACGTATGTCAAAGATCCCAAAACACATCTTTTCAGGGAGAAGCTTCTCAAAACAAAAGCTGTCAGTAAGCAGAAGTTTTCCTAATGCATTTCTAACCTCCTGAAAGGTCTGCATCTTAGTTTGCAGACATGTGTCATACTAGTGGCACTCAATGCAGTGACAGAGCAGCTCATGTTGAGTCCTGCCAGCCTTGTGCCTTGGCCCCTCGCTCCCAGCCTGTGCACACGAGCATGTTGTCCCCTCGGAGGTGCTGCTGTGACTGCGTACAGCCACACAGTAAAACAAGCAACAGAAATGCTGCTGGGGGAGAAGGGAAGAAAACGGAATTTGGATTAAAAACTTGCATTAAATCAGTCTGTTGGCACTGCCTTTGACAGGTACATCACAAAACTCAGGCCTGACAAAATGAGATGGGGAAACACATGGAGTTCTGCACCTGTGTCTCCAGGAGAGACTTGTCTTGCACAATCAATGAATGTAACACCCCAAGTTTCACAATGGAGAAAGACTTAATTCTCCCACAATTATCTGTTATATAATAAACCCAGTATGATGGGAATCTTGACATTGATGTCTTTCTTGCAGAAGTCTAATGACTAATTGATTTGAGGAAATTAATTATTTGACAGAAAACAAGATGACAAAATTGTATACAGAAGTCTCCATGGCTAACCCTAAATAGGTAATTAGTTATATCGCAGATTCATGTATAGATTGTCAAACACACGAAAAAACTACCTTTTTTCCATCTTACTAGTTGGCAGTTTTAATTTTATGCTACACTTTAATATACCTTTTTTTCAGCATATATCTTTCAAAGTAACTGACAGAAGTAGCAATAGTAAATCATGCTACTTACCATTCTTTCGTTGCAACTATTTTGGCTCCATTTTGCTCAGAAGAATACCGGTTACAAGGCAGTATTTCAAACCCACTGTCAGTTGCAAACATTCGTAAATAAATAAATACCTGCAATGAAAGAAAACAGCAATGTGCTGTTACAAAGCAAAACAAAAACAGTCAAGAACGCTTCTATATAAAGAAATCAATTAATTTGGAAAAAAATGGAATGGATATTGTCAAGGATTTGTTAATTGTCGAAATGTATCTGACAAATTTCCTGAGATACTCTGATTACAATTTTAATTATACACATTATGTTAAACTCTTGCTTCTTCAAAGTAACTAGCAAGAATGCTTGCATGAATTACCTAAATATCTAAAGATTAAACAAAAGACTAAAGCTGCCTTGAAGAGGCAGAAGAGACCCATGAGCATGAGTGATTTCTTGTTAAAGTCACTGAATAACCGTGCTTGAGAATTCTGCTCCGATTTTCAGGCACCACGGAGACCCATGCAAACATATATTGCATAGCATACAAAACAGATGAATTTTGTACAGTGCAATTCTAACTCTTTCCAGCTCTCAGTGAGATATTACTGTTCATGAGAAGACTGGATACTGAATTTGAAGATTGCTCCATCAGTTCTCTACAAGTTGTCACTTTTGGCAGCTTTAGTCAAATAAGCCAATATAAATCAAACACTTTGGGAAAGCAGGATTTGCCATCTAGTTTCTTCTACTACTCCTGTGGTGTTTCAGAGCAGAAAAAGGCCTAATTCTTTTTGACTGTATCTAAAAAACCTAGAAAAGTTATGCTCATCCCTGAAATCTTAAAGTAAAAATCCTCAGACAACCTTGTAACTTTTCAGTGTCAACAGCCTTTACGATACACAAAACGGGTTTGGAGCATGGTAAGGTGGGGGGGAAGTGGAAAGAGTATTCCCACAGAGCCCTGTATCAGTAACAACATCTATTTTAAGGTGTAAGGCTTTTCATTTTCCCTTTGGCTTTCTCTAGTCCCTAGCTTCATTTACAACAGAAGCAGATAAAAAGAAAAACGTGTCAAAAATGAAATACATCTTCAAAACTCTTGTTTTCCAGAAATTTGCTTCTGTCTTTTGCTTATGACTTAGGCCAGCAGAAGAGCAGTTTCCTTTCTATGTGTGATATTAAAGCAAAGGCAATGGAAAGCTAGCTTTTTCTTCCCTTCTTTTTGGGTTACCTAGATTTGAACAACTGAAAGAAACTTCCTGTTAGAAAACAATCAAACAAGTAAGGTATAACAGAGCAGTGGGTGACTTTACTGCTGCTACATTCTTAAGAAATTTGTTAAAACATTGTCTTAGCCTTTCAATCATCTGAAAAAGCACATTAATTACAAATACACCTACATGTTCCTTGAACAACCTTTCCTGCATTTTGTTCTTGTTAAGAAAATAGTGCCGGGCCCAGTCACCTGACGTCAAGGACTTGAAGGCTTTTTCTAAGTGCTCATCTTTCTTAAAACGTTCAATCACCTCTTTTAGTTCTTCTTGCCTTCCTTTGATAGGTCGAAATCTGAAACAAAGAATAAAGCTCTTCCAGTCCACCGTTATTCATCTCAAATCTTCCTTGCAATACAAAGTTGTGTTTGCCAACCATATACATGCTTAACTCCTAGCATAATGAAACTAATCATTATTTATACGCAAATTACAGACCCTCCTTTCCATGGCTCCTAGGTAAAGCTCCCTACTTGGAGCTTTGAAAGTCTCCATTCTCTTGAGAAGCAATTTATTTACAAATTTACTTACAAGACAAGTCTCCAATGAGGTTAACTAGTGAAGAATAATATTCTGCTGTTTTTAAACACCCACTAGTCAGTAAGTAGGAAAAACAAATGCAACAAAAGCTTTGTTGTCCTTACTTGCCCTTACTTTCCTCATCAATTTAAGAAAAAGTAATGCAGATAAGAAAAACAACACAAAACACACCGCCCACAAAAACCACCAGCAAATGAATGGAATGCTGTAAGCTTCCCCATACCTCAATATCAAAGGATCTAGACAGTTCTATGTTTTCTTGGTGTTGAGGTGATTTGTTTTTCCTTCAGGTCTCAAGTTTTTCCTCAAAGTCAGACTTGAAACTACACTACACTAACAGTTTTTAATTAGAGACACCCTATGACACATTTGTTTACAAATAAACTGCTGTCTTAGAAAACCATATATATCAAAGCCAAGAGAAGGATTCCTATGTAGAATGCAAACTTAGTATTTGCATTCATATAAAACATTCCAAGACTAGACAAGAAATAGCTATAAGCAGTAACACACAGCACAGATATTACATCTGTGAAGAAAAAACACTTAAAGGGAAACTTAGGTAGCTACACTTCACCATTAGACAAAAATCTTAAGGGTAAAACGCTCTGTGTCAGCAGAAAACTCCAGCTTCCCTCAAAGCTTGGTATTTAAGACAAGTATCCTTTGTATCTTCAAAAAAGATGCTGAGTGACAAGGCCCAGTGCTAAGATACAAAGCCATAAAAAGCAAAATTTGCTAAAAATTATGACAAATAGTTATATATCTATATTGTTTATGACTGAACTGATATCCATGGGTATTTTCAGAAAGAGGGAGAAGAAAAGGATATGTGCTTTTCTGAGCACACAATACACCCAAGGGCACTCTTTCAAACAAAGATTTTCTGGGGTCATTAGAAACTTTTTGTAGCCTTGATTTTTTAAAACGACACAGCTCACTTATTTGCTTACACTGCACAATGGTAAAGATGTTAAGCAAGTTGATATGTTTTGAATGAATCCTCGTGACACACATCTTAAGCACTTGAAGTGTGTACCAGCTTCATTATCCTCACTGCAGATTGATTCTACTTGCTATTATTTAGCAGCTAGAATATTCAATATCTGTATTTAAAGACAGACATAAATGGAAATAAATCCTTCAAGTTAACCTAAGGAAACGTTACCATCTCCCTCACTGATATTCTGTTTCTTAAAAATACTGTAAGACTTGCCTTATCTTCATTATAGTATATCAAGCACTGCCAGTAGCTTATTTTGAGAAGACCAAAAATATACATACTGCTTATACTCGTCTGATGGAGCAAAAGATGCTAAGCATTGTATATTCCGTTTTTGTTTTACCTCTTAAAACAGGAAGAGCTTAATCAGAAATAACTAGCCATGAAAAAAATTAACTTCCCTCATTATCAAGAAAAAACAAAACCTGTCTGCATGCCCTGCAAAAACCTGCAATAGAGAGACCTTACAAGCACAATGCCACTTGCACTGAAAGCAGGTTACCAGTTCTTTGGTGCTGCTTTCTTGGAGAACTATCTTCCACACACGTGCCATCTGAAAAACTTCCTTGTAATGACTTAGCCTTTCTTGACATCTTCTGAACACGACAAGTTTTATCAGCAAAACCCTTACAACTTTCACAGCGGAGGACTTGGCAAGTAGTTCCAAGAAGAACTACTGCTTAGATTAGATGAACTTCCTGCTGGCTGGGATAACATCCAATAAGACAGCAAGGTTTGTCAAGAAATAGATGACGCAGTTTTCAGTGGGTATGTTTTAGAAGTGCAGAAAGAGTCATGTCAAGAAGCTTCAAATTAGTTCTTCACTAAAGGACATCTCTATCACATCTCCACTAAGCATGAACAGCCTTTAACAAGCTGCTGAGACCACTCTAGAGAAAGTACTAGAATTATGTTATTTCTGGTTTGTTCCATAGGGAAGTCTCCCTCAACTGTCACTCACCTAAAAGGAGAAACCTTCCCATCCTCCTAGAACCAGAAAAGGAGGCCCTTCCTAGATTTGACAGTACATCTATGAGCTTCACTACACATTAAGAGTATTCATCATGACATAGCCTGAACTGAAGCCAACTAGTTTCAGGATAGGGCTTGCTCTCATTTTCTGTTTAAATCAGAAACAACTTTTCCCACAAGGAACTGACTGTACTTGCATCTCCAGAACTGCAAAGCATACCAGCAGGACAACATTTTGTGTATGTTTTTAATTGTAAACATTACAGCAGCAAATTCTATGGCTTTTCCTCCTAATAACTAGTTGCCAGCTACTTCTATTCTTGATGGGCTAAATGAAGGATTGCCCTCTCCTTTTTATTTTGTGTGGAATGCACTGCTTCTCTTTTTTAAAGAGAAGGTATCTACAGGAACAAGGGTAAGTGGGGAAACCAGCACAAGACAGGCACTTTATGTGCTGTAAGACACAACTATGCTTGCTTTAGCAACAAGAAGCTTGGCCAAGGCCAACAAAAGAAGTCAGCATCCTAATTCAAACCTCACTGGCATATGACACTAGAAATCTCTGTAGTATCTGCTAATAGGCTACGTGTTTTCAAACAACACCATAAAGAGAACCTAAAAAGAAGGCAAAGCTAAATATATATGAAAGCCAAGCCAAAGAAAGTGGCTTTTAGCATCAGTAAAATAAGGGACCAATTCTAAGAAAAACAGAGATAGTAGAGGAAAAGAAAACCAGCAAGCAAAACAAGCCAACCAACCCAGGCCCTAAACAGATACGCTAAAAGTCAGTATTATGCTTATCCAAACTTCTGGTTTGCTCCCATAAGCAGTGTCTTTATTAGATGCCCTCATGGAAACCGAACAGGATTCTCTTTGAAACTGCCCATATGCACAGACCCCTCGAGCCACCTTACAAACATCTTAGGTTGCCAAGTCTCACAGAGCATGATGTCTGCTGCAAAACCTGTTGTTGAAAATTAGCTTAAGAGTAAAAATCTCATCTACCCAAGTACCTTTGAATCTTAGAAAGAAAGATTAAAATCCCTTCTTCCTGACAAGCTGCAAAATTGAAACTTGTCAAACATCCCTGAAAAATATTGACTTTTCTTTAGTTAATATGATCCAAAAAGGATAAGGAAATTGCAATTTCGGAATCAGCTAGAAGATGGTCTCATCCCACTTGAGGCTCAAACTGAGGTGGTCTCAAAAAGCAAGACTTAGGAGAACGGCGTGGGGAACCAAAGCTCTTACTCTCTCTCAGGTTTCTCTTACCTCGGGAATACTTAATCTTGAAACTCCAAGGTATAAAGCCAAAGGTCAGTGAGATGCTTGCCTATAAAGGAAGTTAAAGGAGAGGTTCTGGTAAGTTCAGGAGCACAGCATCTTGCTCAGTCACTGACAGCAGTGAGTTTGAACAGAAAGGATAAACTGACCCTGCAAGAGATGCAGTTTGGAGGCCCACACAAGTGCCTGTATCTGAGCCCTGCCGCACAATGAAGACTTGCACTGCTGATTTTTTTTGCACTGGAGGACATCAGAAAGAGCGATTTAATGAAACACAGCACCCCCACGGCCTCTGAACAACAGGCACTTTGTTTGGAGGATATTTTATTTTAGGGGCTGTGGAAAGACAATACAATGTAATGAGAGTTGAAAAACCAACTGTTTATAAACAACTTGGAAACCATTTCTTTAGTTAACACAAATTCTGGCTTTATAACTTTTTTTGCAACTTGCAGTACAAGTACATTTATTAAAAGCTAGTTATCCAACATAAAATTTTGAAGGGAAAATTTTAAAGAAAATAATCCACCTTTATTTAAATTTCTTGAACTAAAACTACACACACCAGCATGGCCAAAGCTCAAATACAGCCTAGAATAGAAGCAAAGAAAATTCCAGCAGACACACAATTTCATTCTCCTTAATGCTATTGGCAAATAAATCTCTTGCAATTGTCCGACTTAATAAATTCTGAGAAAAACTTTCCTGCACTCCTACTCTGCCAGTCCACACAATAAATTTAATTTAGCAGTTAGCATGAGCATGGTGTGCAAGCCACTATCTGTTGGAGATGAAGCACTAAGTCCAGACAACAATACAGCTACACAAACAGTACAAAAGTAGTATTTTTTGTATCCAAAACATTCAGCAGCAGCAGAACAATTAATTCCAACATCACCTTCATGTAGTTGAGAAGGAGAAAAGAAGAGAAGCAGAAGCAAACTAGAGGATTTTACTGAATGAAATGCATCAAAACAAAAGTAAAAAGAATAAAGAATGGAGATTTTTGACCAAAGTGATCAAACAAAACCATTTTTAACAGTAAGAACACAGATATTTGGGTCTCAAGAAGGTAAAAGTTTCAGTATGGAACAGTGTGTTGCATACCTCTCACAGTGTCTCCCTAGTGCCCCAGCCACCAGCGAGCTACATGGCCACCTAACTCCACTCAGCAGGCACCCAAAGACTTTTTCTACCTTCAAATGCCATTTCTTTAGGATGAGTACCAAGCCCTTTAATTTTTCCTATTCTGAAACAAGACAAGGAACAGATCAGAGTCAGCACAGACCCATGAATGCAACCAATTTGCCAAGCAAGATTTGCTGCTTCGCCCATCTTCACTGCCACACAGAGTCACTTAGGGTCACAGGACAACATACCCTGTCACAATCAGGAATGACTGATGTTTTACCCTATAAATTCAGCACTTCCCCTTGCTACCATGCTGAAAGAAAGCAGCTTCCAACATCTACACCACATCTCCAAACATCTCATCACCTATCTGGATAAACCTACTCTTTAAGCCAGTTCATTTAGTCTCCATATTATCAGGCAGAATCACCTTCACCACCTGATGGTTTGCAGCACCACTGAAAGTAGCAATAAGGAGTTAGAAAACACAAACCTAGATCATCCTCAAAAAGCCAAAAATTTGTGGTTAAATTACTTGCAAACTTAGAAAACACAGGAACTGCTCTCTATACCCCAAACCATGATGCTGGAACATTAGGGAACCAGGAATAAAACCGCAAGTGACAGGTAAGAGACCAGCCATCTTATAACCAAGAGTCTGGCTAAAATTTAAATATGACACTTTTAATGCAATGCAATAAAGTGTGTGCTAGCATGCAACTTCAAAACTCTTCAGCCCACAAACACACCTGAAAAGATTAATAAATCCCCTCAGCCATTTGCAATTGTAAATTTTAATCCAGGCTATCACACAATGGGAGCTTCAATCCAGGAAATAATTTGCAAAATTGCCAAATAACGGGTTGTATTTACAAGGAGGACAGACACATGATTAAGTCAATTTTAGAACCAGGAGAGCTTTTATTGCAAAAAAGAAAGTCTCATGTAGCAGTATTTGAGTAAGAAGTGACAAAAACTTCTCAGAATAGCTATATTTGACAACATAACAGTACCTAAACATATGGTTTTTTTTGGACTAACTGCTATCCTACTATTTTGCTAAGATAAGAGCTACCAATTTGGGGAAGAATGACCAGATGGCCTGTGAAAAGGGCCAGAAGCTCTGGAAACAATCTGCTTGCTCTTGGAAACCCAAGATGGAAAAAAAGCAAGAGTTGCTTTTGGGTAAAACCACAAAAGAATTTTCCAGACCTAAATTTTAGGCAGTCCATCAAGACCCTGGGAACAAGTGACTTCTGAGGAACGCTGGACAAAGCCACTAGAAGATTTGACTGAAATCTTTTGAGAACTAGCATTCAAGTCCTTTAGACATTGTTGACCTGAAAGCTTACAGAACTCGCACACCAATTCCTCAGAGGACCTGAGAAAGTGTAGAGTTTTGTTTATGTGGCTTCTGGGAAAAAAACAAAACAGGAAAATGCAACCAGGTTCTTGTCACCACTCTACCACGAGACCAAAAATTCAGCATAAACAGAGAACAGTGAAAAAAAGGAATAAAGCTCCAACAATAATACAGATATTTACCTAGAATTTTCAGAGCTATACTCTCAGCAAAATGAGAAGTGAGACAATACATGAAGTGTTCACATAGAAGACATACATACAAAAAATACAGACTTGGCTTCCTAAGGTAAGGTTAAATGCAAGTCATCATCAACTCACGCTGGCCTACTAGTTGCAAAAACACAAGGCCTACATGCATTTCCAATGGCTGAACAGAACGCTTGGCACACAACTTCCACAGCAGGTCTTCCAAAGCAATCAGAAAAAGGAAACAAAATATTTGCTTGCTACCATCAACAAATGCTTTGTTTTAAGCTCACCTTGAGACACAAACCAGTATTTATATGGCTTTACAACACTTAAGCCAAAGACACCAAACCCAAGTTCTAAGTCCTAATTTCTACTCCAAGAATATGCTTGGGTACCAGCATCTGATTTTTTTGAAGCTGGTCTAGTCTTCTCTTATGTGCTTTTCCCCCTTCCCTCTATGTTGTATGCCAGCAATACATCTTGGGACTTCCAACAAACAGAGCACATCTTGCTAGAAGGAAGATCCAAGCTACACAGCCATGATAAGCAGATCTCATCACTCTACCAAAGAGATAAACAAGAGCTGGTGCTAATAAATGCTGATGCCTTTATTTTAATTCACTGCAACAACAGAAACTCTCTCAATATGACATTAAGAGGCAAGATGTGTTTCTGATAGGATTTTTAAGCCTCACCTAAGTATTTCCCACTGTGCTCCAAGATTAATAACTATTGTCCTTGAAGACTGCCTGTAACTGTTCTCCAAGTCTGAGAAAGGCTGTCATCTGTGTTTCTTCCTTTGTGTCGTCTTTTGCTTCAAATCAGTAATTAGAAGCATTTTACAGTTGAAAACATATGAGCAGAAAACATAACATTTACAAAAGCAGATTCCTCCACTATTAAATATTGACTATTTGGCATAGTTTTCTTAGCAGAAAGCAAATGAACTAGTAACATACAGACTTCTGTAGACTACCATCCATGAAAAAAATTGCTGAGCGTATAGAATTAGCTCAAGTACTAAAAACACAAAGTCCTTATGACAGTTGCAAGAGTACCTATTTAGACACTGTTTTGGGCACAATGTGCTATTGCAACCAACAGCATGGCAAGAAGAGGAAGAAAGCAAGAATTCCTTGCAAGATAGATGTTGCACTCCAGGAAAAAAAGTAAACTCTCTTTTGCCAAGTCTTCACAATTAGAGAGACCACTCTGCTACAGTTCCATCTACAACTCCTGCTGCCAGGTTATACCAGCAACCATTTATGGTACATGACACCACCAGCTAATCTGGCAGGCATTTTTCAAGCATCAGCTTATCACATAGATACAAAACCTACGTAACTGATGCTCTGGTGTCTGTGCTGCCAAGGTGAGCTGTTCTTTACAAATAGCCATGGCAATAGGTCTAAGGGGTAAGCAGTCTGTTTCCCACAATGTGATCAAGGTCTCCCATTTGCTTGTACAGTAACTAGACCACAGTTCCTGCCCTTAGAAGCTTACCATTTATATATAGCTTCTCCTTTAAGCGTAGCAATACAGATCTTATTCACAACCAAGAGCTTAACAGGGATCTACAGAATATACTTATGATTGATGGCATGCCTGTAAAACAGGAAGCAGCATGCAACAACTAAACCACAAGCCCATGCTGAATTCAGGACAGAAAGATTCAGACAGGTGCAAAAAAGCACGTGCAGTTTTGGCAAGCAGGTTCTCAGCATGCACTTTAATTTATCTATACACACAGACATGTCTGAGTGACAGTCCTTCAGCATGGGTCTACATGAACTTTAGATTCAGGGGACCAAGACTGCGTGCCTCAAAGGGGAAGCCCTTCTTGCAATAAGGGTGTAACATAGTTCAGGCATTCAAAAGGAACAGAAAACTCCCTAAACACTTTTTTGAAGTGCTATTTCAAATGGCTAATGGTTTAAATCCTAATAACTGTTCAAGTTAGAAGACAGTGTCTATTTAAACACTCTACAGCAGAATTTTACAGGAAGGGCAATAGAAATACCTCATGTTATAAATGCATGCTGTTGTGAAACTCTAAATTTCAGCCTCAAGTTCTTCACCACTTCAAAGGCTGAAGCTACTAACAAATTGCTATTTTTCAGACCTTTGTAAATATGCAGGCAAACCCATAGCTGTCCTCTGATTACATCAATAGGATGATCAATTCTTTTCTAGAAGAATAAAGACAAGTTACCTAGTATTCATTTTGTGTGTCTGAAAACCTAAGTAGGGATCAAGAACCAAACTAGTTGCTAGGTCGTCGTTTTCACACAGCTCCTTGGCAGACATCCCCGAGGAAGGCACGTAACGACTCTGGCCCTCAAATCCTGCAGCACCACTACCTGCAAATAAAAGGGTAGAAATGAGACATCACTTAGGGCACCTGACTATCAAGTCAAGCTGTATTTCTTGCCATGCAGGGCAGAGGATGGAGCACTCAAGTAAGTACGGGCACAGTAATTTGCATGGTACACAGTAATGTATGTGCCCCTCCTAGCACATACAAACCAATCTTTCTACTGCTGTATTCAACCCTGAAATTTCAGGCCAATAAATATGATAAAGTCATGAAAATACAGAACACATCTTTCTAAAATATGAACAGAAGATTTACTAAATTTGGTTTTAGTCCTTCACCCCTAATCAATAATGAAAAATCCATGCTCTTTAAAAGCAGCTTCAGAGCTGCTATTGATACAGGTGACTTCATTCAATGTGAAGTTTACATCTACACAAACATTCAGCTAGGCTTGTAATATAAGTTATCTGTAATCATTTCCAATCACACTAGTTCCCACCTAGCGCAAGTGATGTATTTTGTATGCAGTACAAAATGTATTTACATCCAATGATTTTCATTTTACTTTCAAATTGAAGAGATCATTATGCCTAAGTAAGTTATGACAACTAATATAAACGTAATTGATCTAATAACTACACACTGAGAACATGATTTCCTTCATAAATTACGACAAAAAACAAAGTTTGACTCTCCAATTAAAAAAAACTTCTTTAAACATTGGCAAGATGAACCCCATACAACATTACGCCACATAAGTGCCTACATCTGCTCGATCTTCTCTCAACTCCATTTTTGCCACTCTTCGGATTCTCCTTTCCTGTGTGCTGCAACTTGGTCTGATTCTGTGGGTGGTCATTAGACAACTTGCTTCCACTTCTCCTGCCATTCACCACCATGTTCTTGGATTCTCCCAGCCACTTCATGCCCACAGAAAACCTGACCCAGTTGCATTTAGTCACTTTTCAAAAGGCTCAGAGAAGTGGATGAATATTTTCAGTTCCAATTCC